CTACACTGATGGACAGTGACTGTAATGGGGTATGTGGGGGGGACCTGGTGATGGGGGGAGTCTAGTAAACATAATTTTCCTCATGTAACTGTAGAATAATGATACCAAATAAGAAAAAAAAAGACATTAACAAAAAACTAAAAAAAAAACAATAATACACCTTAGAATTGCCAGAGACTTTTCTTTTTGTTAATGACTTAACCTCTAACAAACAATATTTCTAATGATAATTTCTCCAAACTATACAGAAGATGGCTGCATACTAAATTCACAAAACTCTTGTAGATTAAATTCAAGCAATTAAAAACATATATGTATTTGTGCTACTCCATTGAAAAATGTACAAGAAACTTTGCCTTGATTTTCTCAGGGAATTCTACTCTTTGGTCACATACCATTTTTAGTTAGTACATTTATTTTCACTTTTTTTTTTAATACAAAGTACAAACAAAAATCATAAAGCAGATTTCCAGGTAAGAGAAGAGCCAGATGACTGGATTTGCCTGCCAAGGAATAAGGGAATACTCACCTGTAGGGGGATTGGAAGAAACAACAGGGGGAGTTGGAGAAGTGAAGCCATCAGCAAGGGTCTGGGCACCCCCAGCAGCAGCATCTGGGGCAGTGGAGGAAGGGACAGTAGCAGGAACAAGAGGGGCGGGGGCAGATGCAGAAGTAGCAGGAAGGGGAGGAGTACCAGCAGAGCCAGCAGGGGCTGAGGGGAAGAGGAGTAAGAGGCAGCATTAATGAGGCAGTCCCATCAGGCAGGATTAGAAAAGGCATTAGAGAACTTATCTTTAGATACTCAATGCTTAACACTAACCAAAGAATAGAAGATAGGGTTAAAAAAGAATGGGGTTATGTTAATGAATTATTAGGTTTGCAGCAAATAAGTCAAGGTGCTCAGGGTAACAGATTTTTAAATTCATTAAAAAACAATCATTCCTTTTTACCTGAAAGCCACCACTCTGGAAGAAAAGTGCTCCCTATATATTGTAATTTTTGGCATAACATTCTGTAAATAGTATATAAAACTAAACACAATATACTAGGAAACAACAGTATTCCATTTTGAATCACACAGATCAGAAAATAAACATATACTCCAGACATAAAGTTCTATCAGGTAAAAAAAGAACTTAAAAAAACACAAATCTCTTTTTCATGATTTTTAAAAGGTATTATCTATGTTATTATAAGTAAATTAAATATGTAATATTCTGTTTTTATGTCATGATTTTAAAACTAAATTTTAACTATGATGTCTTCAGATTAAAGCACACTTTTCCATTTCAAAGAAAAGGGAGTAGCAATTCAGAGACAATTAAGTTACAAGAGTCCACTAAATGTAACCATCCAAACTACATTTAAGTATGTCCAATCCTGTGTTACCAATACGATACGATCGCACTGAGTCCCCACTGTGTCCAGAGGCATGCACTGTCATAACACTCATGGGAATGAAACATATATTTCATACTAAGGTGGTACTTGAAATTCTTTATGACAACTGAGCCACAGCACCAAAGACATAAAGCCAAGGAACAGAGAAGTGTGTGAGCATAAACTCATAAACCACTTGGTTAAAAACAACAAATGCATAAAGATTTCCCAACATTTATGGAGTCCTAAAGGTAAAAAAAAATCCTGATTATGAAGAAAGCCCACTGCAATTAAACCAGAAACTGAATTCAAATTCAGAAAGGGCAGGCGGCGATGAAGCGGCACACGTGTTTACCTGGAAAGACACTGGGAGGAGAGGGAGTGGGGACCGCGATGGGCACGCCCACGCTGCCGCTGCCGCTGTTCTCCCGACTGCTGCTCCGGCTGCTCGGGTGGCTTCCTCCGCTACTCCCACTGCTGCTAAAGAAGTAAAAGCCACCAAAACATGAGTATTTATGTATAGTAAGAGATCACCACCATTTCCCAAAATTTTATGAAATGAATATAGCTCCAATAAAGATAATTCAAAGGCCCTCCATTTCAAATATGAATTTCTTAGTAAAAGGAAGAAGCTCAGTTCAAAAAACTTATTTTGACCATCTTTTAATAACCACGTATTAGAGAGACTGAGAAAGAGGGGGTAATTCTCCATAAATACATGATAAATGGTGGGGCTCAAAACCAAAGGTAACATTGCTTGCTTTTATTCCAGTTTAATGCCTGTCTGAAGAAACTTCTTCTATAATAAAAAGATCGTTTTCCAAAAGAGATTTGTTACTAGTTTTACTTGTAATGACATCTTGATATACTATCCCATATTAGTGTGTTTTATTGTATATAGTTTTTCATCTGTAAAGTTCCACCAAAAAACAACTTGAAATTTCCCACAACTGGGCCATAACTTTTTCAGTTCAACTATAACTATTAATTTTGAAAAGAAGTTTGCACTTTAAAATGTCTGGGTTGTTTTTTTATTTTTTCCCCAGCTTCCTGACTGCTCAACTGTTCAAAGTTGCATAGAGCGTAAGGTTCTATGTTTGGGAGAGTAGAGTGAGGAAAAGAACTTAGTGCTTGGAAAATGAGGCAGATATAACTTATCTGAACAATTATGGTATTATGACCATCACATTTTGCACTGAGGTGGAGAAAGTACCTGTAAGTTCGATTTCTTTGATTCACAGAAGCTGTCCTCACAGGGCTCTGCTGCGAGGGAGCCATATTACGGGTTGGGCTAGGTACGTAATCGTTTGGTACCACTGGAGGACGCACTGGCTCCAGTGTGCGATAGGGGGAGTGTCGCCTACAAAAAGAAGAGCGTATGTATTGTGGGATTAGCAAGTTTTGGCACAATAATTCAGAGTTGCCAGCAGTGAAATACCATTTGTATTCAGAGATAGGAAAATGTGTCTTAAATAATCCAGCTACAAATTTCAGTCTTTCCTTAAGTATCACTTCTTCACCATTAGGGTTTTGATGAGTATTGCCTTTAGTCTCCAACCTCATTTCCCTGTGCTAAATGCAATTTTGTTCATTCACTCTCAGAGAGCATGAAGATTTTCCCACCAGAGAAGCCAATTTTCCCCAGACTCTTCTTTCCTTGGAGGAGTTCAAGTTACTTTAGTACCATGTCAGTCTCCTAACTGCACCGCATGAATGCACTACTTATCTTCCTCACTCATCTCTCCCTAACCAAAGATATTCAGTGATAGGTAAATGAATCTAGAACTTGGCTCCACAACGCCACACTGACTGACCCAACCGTAACAATAATTTAGCTTTCTATATAAATTATATCCACACACAGAAATGCACAATTTAATCTCATCTCCTTCCATTCTCATCTTCCTTCCTCCTTTCTTTCACCTTAATCTCTCGACCTTTACCCTTCCTCAGAGTTCAACATTAAAAGAGAAAAAAAAAAAACTCCACTATTTCTACTTTACTTTGAACTGTAAAGTACAAAACAGACTATATCTTACTAACCTATTCCCCTTTTTCTCAAAATTTCCTTTTATGGAAGAAAATGAGAAGCGTAACAAAGCAAATATGGCTAGGTCGGAAATAGGATGCACACTGGAACACTGGTGATTATTAGCTCTCATCCCTAAGTTTCTCAATTCTTTATGACAATGATAAATACTCAACTGACATGATACTGCCATTATGGCCTTTAAAAGAATAAAAATTGGGATCTCAAGATGTGAAAATTTAAAAGCTTTCTATTCCTGAAATGATACTGCTCATGTGATTTACAAATTTTTCAGTAACTCACTCTCCCAAAAGCTCGTAAGAATCCTTTAAGTACTGCTCTCCTGGGCTACTCAACTTATGGTACAATGACTGGCTGAGAACACTTGGCAATGACCCCATCCATTCTAACTGCGCTCAAAATCTCCTTGCATAAATACATACATACATTAATGATTAAAAGTAGATAAGGGTCACTAGATGAGATATTGGATCAAAGGAAGAAAAAAGAGTGTCAGGCCCTGGATTTAAAATACTAAAAAGTTTAAGTACCTCCGGAAGTATGATGTAAATATACAAAACCATAAAATAGGAAACTTATTAATTCCCAAACATCTGGTTTCCACACAATTTTCCCCAGATAATAAAAATGTTCTGTTTCATCCAAGAAAAAAACCTTTCACTGAGTGAGAAGTACAGTGAAGGTTATGATAAAAAAAAAAAAAGATAAACAAGGGACAGAGGAACAAAATACGGAAGCTAGGCAAAGACAATGGAAAAACAGGCTGTGACCATCCACCAGCTGTGGTGCTCAGCGATGCTGGTCTTCAGGGTCCTGCAGAAACCTTACTAATACACAAAGAAAACAAATGCTGGTATACGAATAAACCTTCAAAATTTGAGAGCAATGGAAAAATCTTATTTTACTAAAGACTACAGTGGATTATCTTGCTAACAATCTTGATTTAAAACCCTGTAACAAAATCCATTAGGTATTATACCTGACAGACATGTATATATTCCATAGGAAAATAAAACAAGTATTTCTTTATCTGACTCTCTGTTCTTAACACTATATGTGTTTACCTGGAAAGACACTGGGAGGAGAGGGAGTGGGGACCGCGATGGGCACGCCCACGCTGCCGCTGCCGCTGTTCTCCCGACTGCTGCTCCGGCTGCTCGGGTGGCTTCCTCCGCTACTCCCACTGCTGCTAAAGAAGTAAAAGCCACCAAAACATGAGTATTTATGTATAGTAAGAGATCACCAGCATTTCCCAAAATTTTATGAAATGAATATAGCTCCAATAAAGATAATTCAAAGGCCCTCCATTTCAAATATGAATTTCTTAGTAAAAGGAAGAAGCTCAGTTCAAAAAACTTATTTTGACCATCTTTTAATAACCACGTATTAGAGAGACTGAGAAAGAGGGGGTAATTCTCCATAAATACATGATAAATGGTGGGGCTCAAAACCAAAGGTAACATTGCTTGCTTTTATTCCAGTTTAATGCCTGTCTGAAGAAACTTCTTCTATAATAAAAAGATCGTTTTCCAAAAGAGATTTGTTACTAGTTTTACTTGTAATGACATCTTGATATACTATCCCATATTAGTGTGTTTTATTGTATATAGTTTTTCATCTGTAAAGTTCCACCAAAAAACAACTTGAAATTTCCCACAACTGGGCCATAACTTTTTCAGTTCAACTATAACTATTAATTTTGAAAAGAAGTTTGCACTTTAAAATGTCTGGGTTGTTTTTTTATTTTTTCCCCAGCTTCCTGACTGCTCAACTGTTCAAAGTTGCATAGAGCGTAAGGTTCTATGTTTGGGAGAGTAGAGTGAGGAAAAGAACTTAGTGCTTGGAAAATGAGGCAGATATAACTTATCTGAACAATTATGGTATTATGACCATCACATTTTGCACTGAGGTGGAGAAAGTACCTGTAAGTTCGATTTCTTTGATTCACAGAAGCTGTCCTCACAGGGCTCTGCTGCGAGGGAGCCATATTACGGGTTGGGCTAGGTACGTAATCGTTTGGTACCACTGGAGGACGCACTGGCTCCAGTGTGCGATAGGGGGAGTGTCGCCTACAAAAAGAAGAGCGTATGTATTGTGGGATTAGCAAGTTTTGGCACAATAATTCAGAGTTGCCAGCAGTGAAATACCATTTGTATTCAGAGATAGGAAAATGTGTCTTAAATAATCCAGCTACAAATTTCAGTCTTTCCTTAAGTATCACTTCTTCACCATTAGGGTTTTGATGAGTATTGCCTTTAGTCTCCAACCTCATTTCCCTGTGCTAAATGCAATTTTGTTCATTCACTCTCAGAGAGCATGAAGATTTTCCCACCAGAGAAGCCAATTTTCCCCAGACTCTTCTTTCCTTGGAGGAGTTCAAGTTACTTTAGTACCATGTCAGTCTCCTAACTGCACCGCATGAATGCACTACTTATCTTCCTCACTCATCTCTCCCTAACCAAAGATATTCAGTGATAGGTAAATGAATCTAGAACTTGGCTCCACAACGCCACACTGACTGACCCAACCGTAACAATAATTTAGCTTTCTATATAAATTATATCCACACACAGAAATGCACAATTTAATCTCATCTCCTTCCATTCTCATCTTCCTTCCTCCTTTCTTTCACCTTAATCTCTCGACCTTTACCCTTCCTCAGAGTTCAACATTAAAAGAGAAAAAAAAAAAACTCCACTATTTCTACTTTACTTTGAACTGTAAAGTACAAAACAGACTATATCTTACTAACCTATTCCCCTTTTTCTCAAAATTTCCTTTTATGGAAGAAAATGAGAAGCGTAACAAAGCAAATATGGCTAGGTCGGAAATAGGATGCACACTGGAACACTGGTGATTATTAGCTCTCATCCCTAAGTTTCTCAATTCTTTATGACAATGATAAATACTCAACTGACATGATACTGCCATTATGGCCTTTAAAAGAATAAAAATTGGGATCTCAAGATGTGAAAATTTAAAAGCTTTCTATTCCTGAAATGATACTGCTCATGTGATTTACAAATTTTTCAGTAACTCACTCTCCCAAAAGCTCGTAAGAATCCTTTAAGTACTGCTCTCCTGGGCTACTCAACTTATGGTACAATGACTGGCTGAGAACACTTGGCAATGACCCCATCCATTCTAACTGCGCTCAAAATCTCCTTGCATAAATACATACATACATTAATGATTAAAAGTAGATAAGGGTCACTAGATGAGATATTGGATCAAAGGAAGAAAAAAGAGTGTCAGGCCCTGGATTTAAAATACTAAAAAGTTTAAGTACCTCCGGAAGTATGATGTAAATATACAAAACCATAAAATAGGAAACTTATTAATTCCCAAACATCTGGTTTCCACACAATTTTCCCCAGATAATAAAAATGTTCTGTTTCATCCAAGAAAAAAACCTTTCACTGAGTGAGAAGTACAGTGAAGGTTATGATAAAAAAAAAAAAAGATAAACAAGGGACAGAGGAACAAAATACGGAAGCTAGGCAAAGACAATGGAAAAACAGGCTGTGACCATCCACCAGCTGTGGTGCTCAGCGATGCTGGTCTTCAGGGTCCTGCAGAAACCTTACTAATACACAAAGAAAACAAATGCTGGTATACGAATAAACCTTCAAAATTTGAGAGCAATGGAAAAATCTTATTTTACTAAAGACTACAGTGGATTATCTTGCTAACAATCTTGATTTAAAACCCTGTAACAAAATCCATTAGGTATTATACCTGACAGACATGTATATATTCCATAGGAAAATAAAACAAGTATTTCTTTATCTGACTCTCTGTTCTTAACACTATATAATTATACCCATTTACAGTCTACCCTGAAGTTTAAAACTTATTTGATCAACTAGATTTTTCTTCTCTAATCTAAGCAGGTTTTCTTGGGGGGGAGGGGAGGAGGAGGGGGTCCATCCCAAATAAAATCATCCTATTCCTGGCTGGAATTCATTTTTATTTTCTTTCCCACTGTCCTAACTGTAATTCCTCTTCCAACATTACCCTTTCTTTATATCCCAATTCATCCTTCTCCTGTCCTGATTCACAGTGCTTGATTATGTTCTGTTTTTATTTATTTGTTTGTTTTTTTGGTGAGGGGGCCAGAAACAATATTGTCAATTAAAAGCTTTAAAGCATATAGCATAAAGTTAATAATTAAGCACTTTGTCTTTGTCTCACACATATTTTTTAAATCCAATTCATAGTACAGTAACTCTGAAAAGTTGACAGAGGACAAATATTACCCCCTTTTACAGATGAAAAAGCTGAATTGCTAACAGACTGCCTATGCAAGACCACAGAGTGGGAGCTGAGCTGAACCATAGCTGGACCAGTTTTAGGCATCTGGCCTCTTGTATATATTATGCCCACCTGATCACAAACCTCCACAGTAAACCAAATTTGTATACTATGATTCCATAAAAGAAAAATGTCAAGCTTTTTCATTAATTGACCATTTCTGCCAAAAGTCAAATCCAGAGGCCACTTCTGTAAGGACTGAATTAGAGCTCAATATTCCTGTAACAACACCCAATATACAGAAGTTTCTAGTCTACACAGCGTTCTTCAGAAGAATAGTTTGAGTAGTCAACTACAATACAAAAGACTAAAATTTTCCAAAAATAGGAATTACAGTACAATTTATAATAAAACCATGAACTTGGGCTAGGATTTTACTTCAAATTTAAAATTCATTAGAAAAAAATAACTTCTAAACAAAATCTTTTTAAAGGATAAAGATGTTTATAAAGGATAAGGGCAAGTTACACATAAAAAAGGAAGAAAACATTCTTTTCAAATATTAAAAAGGTTTAAATATATGTAGTGTTTAGTTTTCAATGACACTACATGAAATGGTTTTCTATTATTACTTAGTTACATACTCACCCAAGTGTCCCTTTCCCTGACATTGGAGGACTGGGGGGTTTCTGACTTGGAGGTGTTGTACGCGGCAGCCCACCCATCTTCATATTCTGGGTACTCACCTAAAAAAATTTTGAGGAAAACTCAACTTGCAAGCAGTGAAACAAAGTGACACTTTTGGAAAATAATGTTATGCTACTTAACAAAGGGGGGGAAGGTTTAAATAGGAAAAAAAATTAGAGGCCATGCATTTCATACGCAATTTCTACTCTACTATTATTCTACAGTTGTACTCAAAGGACTCTTCCTAACATAAGATTTTTCAAATGATTATTTGCCATTAGGCCATCACACCAACAGATCACTGGTTAGATTATTTGATACTCTATTCAACTGAACTTAAATAGGGTAACTGTAAAAAAAAATTTAGTTTTAATAAAGGATAACTCAATCAGAAACAATAATGCCTTTAAGAATTCCTTGTTTTTCAGATAGTTAAGTGTATCATAAAAAACAAAATGTTTCCTTAATAAATTATGCAGCCATAGTCTTGATCCATTGTTAACTAGAGAATATAAAATAAAGCTAAATTGTATGAAACACAGAGAAAGCTTTATTTTAAATATCAGATCAGCCTACAATTCGATTTCTTTCATGTTCTCTTTAATCACCTACCCGAAAACTGCTAGAAGTTAAGGTATGTTCCCAAACGTCTGAACTAGAAAGTTAGGTCTGAGGTACCCAAATTCAGCTGTAAGCAGTACCCAGGCCACCGGCAATGTCCTAGTTCCAGTGGGAATTAAACCCACTCAGGCCCAAGATGAAGATTAATTCATGCATGGGAAAGATGGAACATAGTTCTAAATTAGACCTGGGGTGTGACTCCTTACTATTCTGTTCTCACTAAAATCCATGTGTAGGAAAATTGGGTAATCTGGGAACAATGGACACTACCAAACAAGTATGTCAGCACTTACACAGTAAGCCTTAAAACCTGGACATCCTAAGGATTCACAAATATAGTTTAAATGCAATCTCAAATTGTTTGAGATTACAAATTGATGAGTTAATGTTGCACCTGACCCAACTTTAAGCCCCTAATACTTTGGATTGCCAAGCACTTCAAAAAAAGATCTCAACTTTTCTAATAAGAGTATGTCTACAATATTCAAACTATACTTGCAAAATGAAATTTCAAGACATTACACCACTGAAATAAGAATACATTTTTATAACTAATTTCAAAATATAAATTATAAGAGAACTACTCATAATTGTATATAGAGTATCAAAGCTATCAAAATTAACTCTGGCTGAAATGGAATTTTTAAAAATCCTAAAAACTACTTGTCATCTGAATAGGCAATATAATATATCAAGAAACAAACTTTTCAAATGAATAGTCCAGTGAACAAGTTGTGTGTGATGTTAAAACAATCTTTAATGACAAATGATACCTCTGAAATGCCAATATTTTTAAAGCAATGCATTTATCTATAATCCTTTTGTTGTTGCTTTCAAACAATAAATAAAAAACAAACTCTTTATCAAGTAAGAATAAAGATTAACTTATCCTTGCTCTTCCCCTCATTAATAAGCAGAGGGTATGCTAATCATATCTTGAAATGAAAATGCCAGGAGCTTTTAAAAAATATCAATCCACATTTGGGGGAAATTTTAGGAATAATATGACAACCAGTGGCTTTTAAAACTTTAAATCTTAATTCATGATACCAGAAGATTTTTTAAAGTAGTAACCAAAGTCCTTTAAGCTCAACCTTAACATAAAACCCAAAGTTACTTTAAGTGATGAGGGAGAAGTAGGTGAACCAAACACTAAAACTACATCAGTTTGCTAGAAACAGGAAGGAAAAGGAACAGGGATAGAAAAAGACTGAAAGAGAATTTTATTCTATATATGGAATAGATAAAATACTTGAAAACAGCTCTCCAACTGTGATTTAAGGTTTTGGTATTAAGGTGTTTTGTTTAAATTGCAGTATCTCCTGTGTTTTAATCTACCCCCCAAAAATAACATAAAATAAATAATCCATAAATTGAAATCTGGTAGACACTTCTAAAAATAAAGCATGGTATGTTTTATGATCTGTAGAATTAGTTTGGTTAATGGGGCTTAGATGAATAACTTAAATCACTTAAGAAACTGAAGAGTCCCTGTAGAATGTCCAAAAAAGTACAATTTTATACTTTACTGACACTGTACCTTTATGTTAAACTGAAGAATTCTTTTACTTTCTTTGTCATTTTCCATGAAAAATGCCTCTATGCTAAGTAAAACAATGAATATGCTAAGCAGAATATAAATACTGTCATCTAATTTTAATAAACTGTATTTCAAATCTAAAATAATTTCATGATAAAGTATTTACTGGATAGCCAAAATGTTCCTAAAAACTACAAGGGAAGTTTATGGAGGGAAATGCTTCCATAAACATTTCATAGCAAGACACCAAGACTAAATTGTACGTGTAATGAAGAGAAACCTAACACGGGAGCAGGAACACACCATAAATTCAAGACAAAGAAAGCCACACTGCAGCCACCTCATAATAACATTTTTTTAAAACAAACTGCAAACGTAAGCAGAAATTATAATCTGGTGTAGTCAATGGTCCTGAATCACTAGTGGGAGGGCTCATTATACTTTTCAAAGTTTTATGTGCGAATGGAATCAAACTTCAGTGGCTGAATGCAACAATAACTCAACTATTTTTTTTATTTTTTTATTATAAAGTAGAAAGTCATCACTGAACTATACGTAAAGCAGGTATTAGGTCCAAGGAGGAATGGCCCATTTTTCCTACCAGAAAGCAGCCTTCAAAACAGAAGAAACATTTCATTTAGGTGTTGAAGATTAATGCATGGCCACAGCTCAAAATACTTTCCCACTGGCCTGTGACTATGGAATGCGGATAATACTGGAGGCAAGTGCAGTCCATGACCCAACAGTGATCTGACCTCCCAGGCTTTGGAGATCGCTACAACTAGCATCAACCATCAGGCCAATTTCTACAGTGCTCCTACCTTTCCTGCTCTCTCCTTTTGGCACATTTAATACTTCCTGGAACCTTGAAAAATAATAAAACATTCATTACAAATCTCAGTGCTTCCCAGTAACCTGTGAACTTCACTATTTTTTATAAAGCTGGCCAGCCCAGTTGCTCTAGTTCATGAAGAACACTGCCCTTGCTACAAAGGAATCTCCCATTGATGCGACCTGCTGTGATATAAGTGGCAAACCCATTCTAAAATGACACCTGTGGTATGTCCCTCACTTATCAACCACCTACCACTCACCAGAATACTAGGTACAAGGGTACAAGAATATGAAAAATAAAGGAGACAGTGGTGAACACAAAGGTCTATAAAATGATTTCCAAGCTTCAAAGAACTTAATTTTTAGAATAAATAAGACTCCCATGTTTCAAACAAAAAGGAATGTCTACATATTATATAGAAATTACAAAAAAAGAAATATCAATGAGGGAAGGAGTAATTATAGAAGGTTTCATACAGGAAAATCAGAGCTAAACTGTTAACAAGGTTTTGGTGGGTTTTTTTGTTTGTTTTTTAAGCAGGACTGAAATATCAAAAGTGAAGAGTAATAGGTATAGGTTGTATCTGGACGTTAAATAGTGAAGATGGGCAGAAACTATGGTCACGCACACCTTAAGGGTCTCCATTCATTGTCCTGTACTGTTAGTACCCCGTTAGTCTCATCCCATGCATAATTATTTGGCTTCTAGAGATCTATCATTCTCTTCAGAGGATATATGTCCCTACTTCAATTCTCAGGGGGCTAGCAGGAAAAGGACCAGGAGAATCTCTGAGAGACATCAAAGCTGAAATCAGAAATGCAAGTGTGAATTCATGAGAGGAAATTTTTAGTAAGACAGAAAGCTTAAGGTGCCAAGAGTCCTAAAATAATTCAATACAAAGATAAAGGAATGAGAGACTAGAAATAAGTGGGGAGAGAAAGCGGTAAAGGAAGGAGAAAAATTCAACACCCAAAAAACAAACAATCCAATTAAAAAGTGGGTGGAGGACCTGAACAGACATTTTTCCAAAGAAGACATACAGATGGAAAACAAACTCATGAAGAGGTGTTCCACATGATTAATCATCAGGGAAATACAAATTAAAACCACAATGAGATATCACCTCACACCAATCAGAGTGGCCACTATCTAAAAGACAAGATACTACTAGTGTTGACAAGGATGTGGAGAAAAGGGAACATTACCTACACTGTTGGTAGGAATGTCAATTGGTGCAGACACTGTGAAAAGCAGTATGGAAGTTCCTCTAAAACTAAACAGAAATACCATACGACCCAGTAATTCCACTTCTAGGAATTTACCTGAACAAAAATCCCTGGTTTGAAAAGATATACGCACCCCTATGTTTTCTGTCACATCATTTACAATAGCCAAGATATGGAACCAACTCAAGTGTCCACCAATACATGAAGAGATAAAGAAGATGGGGTGCATATACACAGTGGAATATTATTTAGTCATAAAAAGGAAAGAAATCCTTCCATTTGGACAACATGGATGGACCTAGAGGGTATTATGCTGGAGAAAGACAAATACCATGATTTTACTTATTTGTGGAATCTAAAATCAAAAGAAAACCAATGAACAAAACAGCAGCAGACTCAGCTCAGAGAAGCGACTGGTGGTTACCATTGGGGAGGAGGTTGGAGCAGGTGGGTGGGGAGAGGGAGAGGGATAAAGGGCACAAGAATTCTCAATCATAATATAAGTTAGTCACAGGATGGTAGTAGAATGTGGAGAATGTAGCCAATGATTCTGTAACATCTTCCTATGTTGACAGATAGTCACTACAATAAAGGAGGCAACTGCTGAATCACGGTGTTGCATATCTGAAACCAATATAGGATTGTATATCAACTATACTTCAATTAAAAAAAAAAAAAAGAATAAGGAGGCAACTGCTGAATCACGGTGTTGCATATCTGAAACCAATATAGGATTGTATATCAACTATACTTCAATTAAAAAAAAAAAAAAGAAAGAAGAAAAAGAGGAATAAAGATGGGAAAATTTCTGCTTGATTTTTAAATAGTTTCTGACAACCAGTCTTTGCCAAAATAGCACTGGTGGCTAAAGAGTGGAACTAATAGGCAAAACAGACAGGTCTCCTAAAGGTTGTTGTTACTATGGAGTTTTTCTTAGTAAAAAAAAATGACTACAGGTGAACCATCAGCTGTACCTGAAAGCTAGAAATGTGGGGGACAATTTATCATCCTTTTGTAGGGAATAACAAACACTTAAAAATTGCACTCAAGCAAAAACTTTAGCCCATTTTTTACACAGGGTCAAGGACCTTCAAGATCCCAAGCAAAATTTTCAAGTGCTATGCTCTTAACATTTTAGTTGTAGAAAAATCAACCCCTCCTCATTAATTATTTAGAATTTGCCAGCACAGTGTTCAACTGAAATAAATTAACTACATGTGGATAAAATGAAAGTTCCTGTGGTCAGGATTCTCACCTGGTCCTGGTCGGCTAGCTCACTACACACGTGTGGACAATATGTTGCTACTGACTCTAAAGAGCTCTGCCCAGTGCTCTGGACAACATGGTGGCAGGGCTGCAAGGCTGCAGGACAGCAAAGGCTGGAGTGGTGGCAGCACTGAAGACAGAGGCCCAGAGGATGGCTGTGCGGGCAGAGAGGCCCAGAGGCAGACCGGTTTACTGCGTGAAGACTCACTCTGAGTGGATGGGATTCTAGTGACTGACCTGCCACCATGGGAATGAAGTTGGGTATAAACACTTTCACTCCAAGAAAGTTCTACTGTCATTTCTTTGGTCACACTGAATCCATAGTGAACTTGCTGGGTGCTGAAGCCCATTGGCAAGACACTACATTAACAGTCAGAAGTCTTTACTATTTTTAACGAAACTAATATAGTTACTTAAAAAGTATTTCAGCTTAGCTTCATGAGTGACTTTAGTGCTTTCAATAGAAAAATCCATTTCAAACACATCAGTAGTAAGGTCTTCAAACTCTCTTTACTATTAAAATAAAGAGTGGAGAAAGGATATACCAGTTCAAGGCACATTTCACTTTTATATGGCCGCAGGTACATATTAAAAGACTTCTAATCTGGCCTTCTGTCCACTGGCTTTTTATGCCTTTTGTTGTAAAAAATCACATTGTCGTCAATGGTCTTAAACTCTACAACTTGTTCTCCTCAATCAACTGAAGAAAAAAAACACCCAATTTCAGATGGAAATAACCACTAAGCACCACCAGAACATGCTCTATAAAATGTTTAAAAAATTCAATTTTTAAGCATGGGGGTCTCTTGAGTCAAATCCCACTGTCTGATCCAAAAGTATGATCTTTGTGTAGAGTCTACCCGAAAGGCATCAAAAGCCTGACAACAATGGGAGCAGAAACAGAGGAAAAGCTGAGGAGGAAATCAAAGTAGCAAATAACCCTGTCAAACACCATAGGATGTGTATAGGCTGTGTCTGGATGTGGAATAGTGAGGATGGGCAGAAGCTGTAGTCAAGCACCTTGGGGCCTCCACCCACTCTCCACTATTTTCCCCTTTAGTCCCATCCCAAGCATAATTCTTCGGCTTCAGGACACTCGATATAATCCACAGGTCTCCAAGAAGCACAGCTGGAAAACCACTGGACAGGTTTAATATCTGCAGTCCCTTCCAACTTTAGCATTTTTTCCTTTAATTCCATTTTACCTTAATATATTCATTCATTCCATTAATGACTCTTTCAATACCACTAATTTTTTTTACCAGCATATAGAGTAATGATTTGTTATATGCGGAATATTTTTTCACTCCACTTTGTTTTGGTTCACCCAAAATTATTAACTCTGTGCTTCAAATTTATAGAGAAGACAGACATATTCACAAAGAGGGATAGAAAGAAAGACCATTGGCTCATTCTAGCTTCTAGAATGAATTCAGGGTACTTATCTCACCCTGTCAACTCCAGAAATGGTAGAAACACCTATACAGAGCCACAGTACTCAGCAGTGGAGCTTTCTGATGCAAAGAGCAAAGATGTTAAGAAAATCTTCTCCAAGTATGATACTTCCTTGTTAGATACTTTCTTTCCAGAAGCCTCTCCTTCCCACTCATTTCAGCCCATCTCTCAGACGGAACAGATCCTGAACCCAGGAAGATTCTTGTCTTTCACCAAGAAGGAATCATAGAAGGGTTTGGAAGAAATGAGCTTGAGGATAGTAGCTTAGGCAAGCTGTTCTAAACTTTAAGGGGAAAGAATTTGTGCATTTCTGCTTTTCCTTCAGTTAATCTCTGTGCACTTCTGTCCCTTTGGAGGTTAACACTCCAAAAGCCAAAGTGTGAACATAAACTTTAGAGGGAAAGATCCAGAGTAGTCACACATCACTGTGGGTCCAGTTCTACCTGTTTCATTCAAAAGGAATCGCCTCACAATTCCACGTCCTCACCAAGACTAAGGGCTGGGAGCCAAAATGGTAATCAGTAAAACAAGGAGTGTATTTGCCTGGGCCCCTCTACTCACATGTCTCTAGCATGATCGGTTGAAATTTCTGGGGCCATGGTTAGTAACTAATTAATGATTCAGATCTCAGTCATCTTGCCTTCTAGTTATCACTTTCTATACTGAAGATAAGACAAACAACAGGTATTAGAAAGAGTATGTATCTGAAATTATAAAATTCAGCTAAGGAACAAAAGAACAAAAAGGAAATGCCTCTTCACTTACATGAAAATAATTTTATTAACATTCTATTTATAGACTTCTTTAATATATTTGAATGTCTTTTACCATTAATCCTCCACAATACCAAATTGTTACTGAAACAAATAAAAGAAAATGTTTCTCTAACTGTAACTAGTACTTTGTTAAACACTATCATAACTTTTGATATTTTGCATGTAACACTCAGCCTATAAAACTTGAAGTATGTATTTTTATATATTTTATATATAATACAGCAACTTAAAAAAGACTATCTTTGTTTTTTGCAAAATACATGATACTGCAACTTAAAAAAAAAACCCATAACACTGAAAATTTTCTGCTTCTCAGTTTCTTTACATTGATTAAGAGTCAAGAGATGATGACACACTGGCCACAGGTATATAATAAAGCACACCATTTATAGAATAAAGAAGCTATTACACAGGGGGAGGGTTAAATGAAGCACACTAGTTGGCCCTCCAGTCAATAACAAAATTTCTGTATTTTACAGAAATCCAGCTTACTTCCTAATTACATTTTATGATATGATAACTTACATTTCAGCTTCATAAAATATACTAACATTGCAAAATAACAATGCACTCAACAAATATTTAATAAGCACCTAACATGTGTCTGACATGGTTCTAGGCACACAAGATAGGGCAGTGAACAGACAAAAATATCTGCCCTTATTAAACATGAAGACACACCACAAAATTACTCTACAAAAATGTCTTAAATAAAAAGAGGCATTATATGTTGGCTTTAAGAGGCCAAGTGCCAAGTGTCTCTTCACTCCCCATATGTAATATTCTACATAAGAACAAAGAATGGAAATCCAGCCCTGGAATCTCTTACCTTAAATCTAAGCAACCACTTAATGCATAAATGGAGCAAATAAAAAAAGTAAGGAAAAAAAGCATTGAAAGGTTAGTTGGAACTTCAGGATGTGAAGAGAAAGGGAAAAAAACAAAAAACAAGTTAAGCATTCAGCATTAAAAAATAATGTTTCAGTAGGTCAAGAAAGAGTGGTTAAAGCAGAATGTGTCATGAACAGAAGGTTTTCTTGATGAAATTATATGACACTGTTTTATTTAAAAACTTTATTAAAGATTTCTTTAAATTAGTGACCTCAAACACTAGAAGTTCAAACAATGAAAGGGACTAGAGAGTCCTCAAAGAGTAACATTTTACTTGAATTAAATAAGAATGGGGGTGGGGGAGAAGGAATCATCTTTTTATTATATAAGAGGGCTAGCACAAATATGATGTTTTATATTCAAAGTGCCTTTTTAATTAGATTCTAATAGTTTCCATTAGCAGTTGTTAGCCTTGCATGAATCTCAAAAATTTTTCCGTTAGAATAAATTTCAGTTGTTAATTATCCATACTATTTTAAAACTGCTGTAATTAGTAATCTAAATACGTACAGGTGCCAAAATTCTACGGAAAAAATATTTTTTTTAAAGTTTACATTGTACATTTTAGTTTGCCTAAATCTACATTAAATTTACATTTAATTGATTTGTAGCCATACTAATGTATTTTTTAATTTAAATTTGCTTATCTAGATGTAAATTAACTGCATGAACTGTATGGTTTTACTTATGAGCATGTATATATTTATTCAAATTTGATTAAGTCATTGTCTTTCAAATCACTGAAGAGATGCAAACTTTAAATCACTTAATGCTTAGCCAAACCCTGAATAGTTTAAGTACAAACAGCAATTTAAATGAAATTTATATGCTCCTCAGTCCTGATCATGGTAGTTTATATGTAAAGCAGGTACTCAAATACATTTTGAAAGACAGCCAATATACGTAATGGCTATATACTCAAAAGCAGTGGAATCTCATGTTACTTTTACCTATGCTATTCTCATGCAAAATGTTAAGGTAAAATTATTTTAGAAAAATTCAAAGTACATGTTTATGTATGTTCTTTGTGAAAACTAATGCCAGAAGCTTGCTGATGAATTTTTGATATGGTGAATACTTTAACAACATACTGAATAATTTTTTAATCAGTCACACTAAGTCATTAAAAGATTAGTAAGATTACACCACACTGATTTGCCAGATATATATAAAGGTATTATCATAACTGATTTAAGTAAATATAATTTATTGAAAGATAACTGTTTAAAACTTGAGAACATAGCACTAAGCAGCAGCAGGAAGGATAAAATAGTTATAGTAGTAAGGAATCTTGAGTCCCACAACTGGGCCAAGACTCAGTCCTCTAGGAAAAGAAAGGTAACAGTTTCATTTCCTGAAGTTAGTTCCACTGTAGGCTATTGTTTTAGAAAGCTCACTAAAAATTATACTTACCTTTACTCCATGTCCAATATCATCTAGAATTGTATAGTCAATAGGTTTTCTAATATAACGAACTGGTCGTTCAAGGTTGGCTGGAGCAATAATCTTATGTGTCCTTGAAGTGTTTTTATTAGTAGTCAAAATACCAATTTCTCTTCTCGCAACTTTCTCTTTATGAATATCAACAGTCTGCAAAATATAAGCATAGTGCAAAGAATGTATAGCTCTAATATCCAGACCTCAAAAGAGGGTAATTTCTCCACAAACACAGGTAATTAATACAGCATTTTCCAGACGGCAGGTTGCAATTTAGCAGGATTGAGCAATTATTTTAAATGAAATAGAACAGAAGTATCAGATTGTATAGACAACATAAGGTAAGTATTTCTTCTTGAAACATTTATTATATAAAGATACACATGAATTGTGTTTTGGATGCAAGGTAAAATGTGTTTTTTACTGTGAGTTGCAGTCAAAAAATTCATTAGAATTGTTCACATCTCTTACTACCATTCCTAGGTCAAGAAGCAATTAATAAACACTTTTACTAATTCCCCCCCAGGCCCACCTCAATTTCCTCCCTTTCTTAAAGAAGAAACAGGTCATAACAGAAATGAAAAAAAAAAAAAAAGATAGCCATCACATTATTAGATACTGCTTACAAAACTGAAAGCTGATTATTTAACCCTCTAAACTACTTGATAAGAGGGAAACTTAAATTCAAAGCCTCCTATTTCAACCAAGAGATCTTAAAAGCAACAAAATCTATAAGCTTCAGAACTAATAAATATCTAAATGAAGCATAAAATTAAAGACTGGGATGGTAGTAACCTTATCATTTTAAATATTTCTTTTTAAAAACAAAAACAATCTTTGAATTTTTTCAGTGTACATTAGGTAAATTACAAAATCTGCTTCCCTTTTTAAGTGCTTGGGAGAGTTATCAAAGAAAAAAGAATTCTGCATATTAGTGATAATATTGGAATTTACCTACTTTAACTTCAGAAAAATGAAAATCAAATTCACATTTAATGAAATTAAGTTCACATTTTAATGAATCATCCTAAATCATTAAAAATACAGGCTAGGAAGATTTCATACTTATCATGTATGCTTCAAAATAAAAACCAAACTATGGCTCTTGTTTTTTATATAACTGGTATTAGTCCCATCAGTAAAAGAAAAACTCCTCTTGGGACAGTTTCTGTTCTGCTCAGTTTTTAGAAATGTAATTATGTTATTTAGAAAATGAAATAAGAATGCAAACCCAACCAACCATAATAGAATTCTAAGGTATGGCAAATGGAAACTTCAATTTCAAGTTATAATGCTAGAAATATTAATTAATCTCTATAGAGAAGGAAAAGGGGAAGCAACTTTCTACTTATTATTTGTACTAATATAAGTTACCGTTTATAAAAAGTACATATTTTTAACTGGAAAAACAAGGCTTTTTTATAAAAGCATTAAAACAACTGATTATATCTGGGGGCCAGGGGCACTTATTATTCACATGTTCTCTTTATATAAACACAAACACACAACGCAAATCCACAGACTCTTACAGTAAAGACAAAAGGAAGACCAATACAGTAAAGAAAAACATAACAAAACCATAAGCCTAAATGATGGATAGTTGCTCTAACAGGGCAAAAAATTGAGCCCTTAGGCTTTCTGGGAGAGAAGGCAAAGTAGATAAACATAATGAGTTACAAGGAAATATACCCCTCCATTAGGAAAGTGACAATTTTCAAGCACTAAAGTCTAAAAGCAAATGGTTGAAGAAATTATGAGGAGAAAAATGTCCTATGTTCCTTCTTATACTAAACTCTTGGTAAAACTGAAGGCATGTCTTAAAACATAATCCTTAACAGCACATGTCTATGTAAAGTTAAAATAATTTGGTTTGGCTATAATGTTTCTAGTTGTCTAAATGAATGCAGGGTTTCTCAATAGTGACACTACTAACATTTTGGGGCAGAGACTTCTTGGCTGTGGGGGATGTCCTGAGCACCAAAGGACATGGAGAAGCAGCCTAGTAGATACCTATAGAACTCCCTACCCCCTTTATCACCAGGTATGACAACCAAAAATGTATGACATTGCCAAATATCTCCTTGGGGATAGAACTGCCCTGGTTGAGAACCTTGATCTAGAGAAACAACTAAGTTACTTTTCCCTTACATTATTCAATCTCAAATATCAATTGTTTACAAAATGTTTACAAGACCTGACTCAAATAGGCATAATGTCTCTGGTGACTGCCTAAGTATAGACATTTGATGTCATTAACTTTTAAAAAGTATCTACAATAATAAAAGTAATATATGGTTAAGAAAAACAAAAAGTAAAATCTGTATGTCATCCCTCTACCACACTGGGTTGACCTGTAGGAATTCCTGTGCAGAATGAAATATGCTTTCAGAAATTAGGTATGGTTTTGTTTAAGAGTCTGAATAACAACAATGGAGAACAAAAAAATCTATTCCATAAATAAGAAGCAGAAAATTTGATTCAGAAGTTTCTGAAGTTTTCAGCAAACACCTATTTCAAAATTATCAAAGATTCTCTATTTCAAAATACGGAAAATATAACCATATTCAAATTAAACAAAATAATGTAATGAACATTCCCCTTCCCACAATATATCAAACATCCAGCTTCAACATTCATCAACTCACAGCCAACAGTCTGTTTTAAAATAACTTCTGTAAAGCCCCTATAATGTTGTTTGTAAATAAAAAAACATGGCTACTATGTTTCCTTAAATCAAATTCAGAGCTTCTGCTATTGCCTCTGCCTTCATAATAAACTTTGACATTCTAATGATTAGATGAATTAACTTAAATTTTGAAAGTACAAGTTCAACAGTGATACTTAGAATTTTAATAGTAAAAAAAGTATTTCAACTTTCTCCTGGATTTCTAAAGTTACTAATTTTACAACAATAAATGTACTCTTATTTAGAAGTGGCCTCAATTAACAGAACTCATCTGTGGCAAGTAAAATATGTGTTCAGCTAGCAAAGAAGACCAAAAGTAATGCAAGTACACTGCTACTGATACTATTACTGCTTGCTACCTGTTAACCAAAAAACACATAGAGTAGTATCACTGCAGCTGTACAGGGCTTAAACATCTATTCTTATTAATAGATCCTTATTAATTTGTTTCTCAAATCAATTTTATTAATTTAACTCTGTTATTGCCAACCTCACATGCTGCAGGCTCCCACAATGACACTTCAGCCATGCAGTGCCAAACCCAGGATACCAACTCTAGAGTACTTTCTTTGGCTCTAAGACAGTCATACTGACTCCCAGAGCTCTTTTGCTAGCCTGAACCCCACTCCCACATCTCCATCATGGACCCAAGAACATGCTCAGGAAAGTTTGAAGATTTAAAATTTCAGTTATCTTTTTAAGTAATATGCTTCCAAAGAATTGAAACTGGTTTTAAAACCAGCAACAAAGCTAGAGATGCAATTTCTTTTGAGATTACCATCCTTAAAATATCTAATGTAACCCATCTTGAGAATATATCCTATTTCTTACAGATACATTGAGTGTGGTATATATTAGTAAACTACTTAATACTATATTGTCTGTTTAATGCAAAAAAGTATCTGATAGCAAATATTCATAATCAGTTCTGTCTTGTTTTTCAAAATATTTGACATTTAAAGGATGGGTTATTTACTGTGTTTTGCTGAAATATTACTTGGTAGAGTCAAGGAATTCCCATCCTCAGATTCAAATTCAGAATCATTTGGGAAAGAATTCAGATAGAGAGTTGAGGTCAGTAGAGTTCAGATAGAGAGTTGAGGTCAGTAGAGCACAGATTAAAGTGAACACAGAAACAGCAGAACAGAAAGAGAAAAAAGCAAACATAAACCGTTTTTAAGAAAGTCAGAAGAATAAGGAATTCATGATGAAGATAGCTCAGAAATCATTTAATCAGTCTTTTCATTTCAGAGAGAAAACTCAAGTTCAAAGTCAAAGGTCACAAGTCAGCAGGAGAGCCAAAGAAAAACCTAGATCCCTCCCTCTGTCCTCCCAGTCCTACTCAGTATTCATTCCACTAAAGTGGAGAAAAGAGCCAGTACCAGGAGGCTGGAAAGCAACAAGGTTCTTGTCCAGGAGACAGAAGAAATATACTGATAAGGGAAGAAATTAAACACGTCAGATAGCTAATATCTACTGGTCCTGACCCCTCTACCAAACAAACCTTACAACTCCTGACACCTACTACCCTTCCAATAAACACGTGATCTTGTCCTTGACCTGACCAAATGTCCATTTCTTTGCTTCTTCAACCCAATCTTCTCTCCCAACTCTCTGAGCACAGTATTTTTGCCCAAATTGCAAGTTTGGTCACGTCTTAAGAACCTTCTGCCTCACTCTAATAACCATATAACTTTTAATAAATATCAAAATCACAGAGAAGATAATCATTCCATAAAAAGAATCAAAAAACAACCTAATATTAACTGTGTATTTTTCCAGATCATCCATGTGAGTAAACTCACATAATAAAGGCTGCCAGCATTACAGATTGCCTGTGGTTATAAGCAAAATAAGAAAACAGCATGGTCTCACTTGCGAAATATGATTGATTGAAGATTCCATCCTTCGTAGCTGGGATGCCTGGATATCCAGCATCTGGAGGACATTGTTCGCCAAGGTATTTATCAGATAGGCAACACTTGCTAAGGACTGGGTGGTGTAGGCTTTGGTTTCTTCTAGGGCTCGCTGCTTATCTGCTGACTAGGAGGAAAAGAAACAATCATTAATTTAAAGATAACCCATTCTATCAATTTAATCTGCAAAAGTACTCACCAAAACCAGTGTGTTGTTGAAGCAACACATACTAGTAAAAAATGTTCTAAAAACTAACTCCCGGTATCATGTAAAACTAAAACTAAACTATTGCCTGAATTCACTAATATTTTCATGTTGACTAGTTAACATTTTGTACAGATGCAAACAAAATCTTAAAACCATTATTTTAAAAATGAGATCTAATGGATATTTTGAGCAATGACAGCAAGTATATAGCTTCTCCAAGTCACTGTTTAGAAAGGTAGCATTAATTTGAATGTATAAATTCTGGTGTACTTTTTCTACTGTCCTGAATTCCTCCTTTTCTTCCACTCCACCATGTGAAATGTGTTATAAATAATGTGTGATTAAAGTAATAACATTGATAAAATAAGGACAAATAAAAATGGTGACAATCATAAATAATGATACATTAATATAAAAATAACAAAAGGACTTTTCTTCCTAAACATTTTTAGTGTTTTAACACAATGGGATATAAATTGCCCAGTACTATAAACTCTACTTCAAAAACAGAGCACACAGTGAGAAGTGGTTAACTATTGCTTTCCAAGGTCACAGAGCAAAGCACTGGTAAAAATGCATATTCTGGGCTGTTAACTACTAAACACCATCTACTTGCCCTGGTACTGTGAAAGTACACAAGCCAGTGAACCAGAAACTTTTTATCTTAATGTCAGCTCTACTGTTTACTACAACATATCAACTTGAACAAGTCACAGTTGCTCAATTTCCTCAACTGTAAAGCAAAGGAGAGAAACGTCTGTATCAAACATTCTAAGTAGTTGCAAACATCAAATAAAAATGTAAAACCAGTTTCTAAAACTACAAATCGTTATATGTAACAACTGTTATTATCCCTTTGACTGATCATTCACTGTTCAAAGTCCACTTTGTCTCTTCAAAGTCTTCTCTCCCACACAGCAGTATAGAACCTAGAATAAACAGCCCTAGATATGTTTTTCCAGGGGGAGCAAAGTTCTTTAGAAGCAGCAGCAATTAACATAATCATCAAATTATACCATTCTAACTTGGAGAGAATCCTGTATTAGCTTTTTATTTTTTCTGCTCTATTCTTATACTAATCCTTAGTAGACTGTTTCATCAATGCTTGAATTAATGGAATTGAAACCAAATGTGGTTGAAGATAGTTTTAAAAGACAACATATAGACTGACTTCCAGATTCTGACTGTGCATGTAATGAGCTTGGAAGTCACAACTCCATCCTTATAAGTAAAAAGGTGAGCACACTGCAAAAAAAAAAATTAAATTTTCTTGAAATCACATTAGAAGGCAGTAAGTCAGTAACACTTTTAAGACATTACTCTAAATCAGAGTATTTGTTATAGACACAATCCAATATTAAAAGTTAGATAATTTGTTTAGTATGCATCAAAAGATCAAGGGAATGGATATTTGGATAGGTGTAATTATTTCCAATGTGTCCTTTTTTATATTGACAGTATTTGATTTTTTTTGAGAAATATTAGCATTGATCCCTTCATGCTATGCCTTTATTCCTATTATATGTGAAATCGCATGGCTAGTTGTTGCTACATCAAAAATGTGAGAGCCCCATCTACCTCAGAGAGCTTCATGAATATCTACTTTTTCCATAGAAGACTAAGGACCATGTAATGTAAAATGTATGAAGAAAATCTAAATGCAGAAGCTGTATGAGGTTGACTTACAACACTGATGTACATCACCACAAAGCAGGTGTTCAGGGCACAATTCTTCTACGTTGAAGTTGGAGAAAAATTCTGAATTTTTTGTTATACCAATTCCTCTTTAAGGAAAAAAACCTGGCAGCCCATTAAAATCCTGTTGTATCTTCATAACAGCAATAGTTAGAAGTCATGAATGACAGTTGATATGGTTGAAACAAAGAAATATTCATAGACAGAGAAAAGTATAGCTAACTTTTCTCTAAAAGGATCTAAGTTCATTGTACATCAACATTTCTTAAATGATTAGCCTCAGTCTTGAAAACTGTAGAAATCGCAACTTTCAAATCACTGTATCAGAAAAACAAGAATGTGGGGATTGGGGGGAGATGGCAGAATAGAGAGACCCTGAACCCACCTATACACCAAATCTACACCTACATACAGAGCATTTCACCCTGAAGAACAGAGACTGAGGTGAACCCTTTCTTTATGACAAGGAACAGAAAGATTACATTAAAAAAACCCAAATGGCAGGAGAGACAGAGACCACAGGAACCCCACCCACAACACAGTGGACCAGCAGAGGGAAGGGGGAGGGGTATCACTGTGGGAGCCTGGCTGGACTCCTTGCCCTGAGACACAGTAAAGAGCCTTGCAGTTTAAGTACAAATGGACCATCAGTGAAAGAACCCAAGTTTCAAAACATTTGCTGCTTGGCAAAGAAACCAGTGGAGTTAATCTGGGATCAGAGGCGGCAGCCAGCACCATACTTCTGCTTTCCTTCCACACATCTTAGTGTAGCCAAGAGCAGGATTGAGACCCACAGACCAATCTTGGTCTGGGAGGCCCCCCTAAGTCCCCTACCAATATCCAGGCATGCCTGCAAGAGATCCAGCAGTCCCACCTCGCTGCCCACTGACATCCCCCAACCCAGCCCCCATCAGTGGGATTAGAAAGTTGCCTGGCCCACAGGGAGGGTAGACGAACTACAGGCTGGTGCTGCCAAAGCAACTTCCCAGAGCAGCTCAGAGGATGTATCACCGCTAGGGAACACACATGCGGGAGAACTCAGCCAGCAGGAACCAGTGGGCGCCATCACAGAAAACTCCCAAGAGAAGCCTAGAGCACACAGGGTCTGCAGGGAAATGTGCAGGCACAGGCACATGAGACCTCACCCAGGATGCCAGAAGGACCTGGAAAGGGACAATGCGGGGATTCCCTGGAGCAGCCCAGAGCACTGAGGTGTGGGGGGAACTTGCAAGGGGCCTGACACCAGCTGCCGATGAGACTGGGCAGGAGCCAATGGGAGAATTCCCCCAGAGCATGCACAGGCCCATGGGAGAGGAGGCACAGCTGGCACCACCCTGGGGCATTACCTGGCATGCACCTCCAACCTCCCACTAGACAACTACCCTACTTCCATAAGCACAGAACCCAGAGGTTTTCACCCAGGAGCCTATCCAATGGATCCCCAAGACTGTGTCCCTGGGACCATACCCTGCGAACACCAAAACCAATAAAAGCCTGTCTCATGCTCACTTGGCTTCCAGCTTGCCAAAACTATGAAGCACAGGTAGTCTACACAGGAGACCCTCCTATGCAAGGCCAATCCTTCAAGACTGGGAGTGCAAGCCCTTTCACCTAATTCATAGAATCAAGCACATAAAGTCATAGAAAATGAAAGCAGATTTTAATGAAGAGATAGAAAGTCTAAAAAACAACCAATCAGAGATGAATAATTCACTAGATGAAATAAAAAATACACTGGAGGGAATGAACAGCACACTAGAAGACAGAAAACAGATCAGTAACTTGGAAGATAAGAGTATTGGAAAGCATTCTAGGTGAACAGAAGGGTAAGAGAACTCTGGGACAAAATCAAATGTCCTAACATCCACATTATACAAGTCTCAGAAGGAGAAGAGAGAAAGGATCAGAAAAAGTAAAGAGATAATAGCTGAAAACTATCCTAACATGTGGAAGGAAACAGTCTACCAGGTCCAGAGATTTCCAAACAAGATGAATCCAAGGAGGTNCAAGAATACTCTACCCAGAAAAGTTATCATTCAGAATTGAAGGAAAGATAAAGAGCTTCACATATAAACATAAAAAAGTTCACCTCTACTAAACCAACCTTATAGGAAATGTTAAAGCAACTTCTTTAAGAGGAACAGAAAAGACCCTAACTAGAAGCAAGAAATTTAAGAAAATTTCTACTGGTAAAGCAAACATACAGCAGAAGTAGAAGATCAATTGCTTAAAAGCTCCTATTAAGGTTGGAAGGACATAAGTAGCAAAAGCAATTATGTCTAAAAATTAAGAGAATCAGTAACATAGAGCAAAAGAAGATTATACATAAAATGTGGAAGGGGGAGTAATCATTGTAGTGTTTTTAAAAAGCATTCAAATGCAAATGACCATCAGCTTAGTACAGATTGTTATATGCACACGATGTGTCATAATAACTCCATGACAACCACAAAACAAAAACTTTATTAATGGATACACAAAAAAGAAAGAACAGGGAATGCAACCATAACACTAAAGGGTAAGTTATAACAAGAGAGGGCAAGAGAGGAAGAAAGGATCGGAGAACGACAAAGCAACCAGGAAACATTTAACAAAATGGCAATTAAGTACATACATATCAATAATTACTTAAATGTAAATGGACTAAATGTTCCAATCAAAAGACACAGGATAACTGAATGGATAAAAAAACAAGGCCCATCTATTTGCTGCCTACAAGAGACTAATTTCAGACCAAAAGACATACGCAGACTGAAACTAAAGGGGTAGAAAAAGATATTTCATGTAAATAGGGACAAAAATAAACCCTTAAGTTGAAATACTTATATCATACAAAATAGACTTCAAAACAAAGAAAACAACAAAGAACATTACATAATGCTCAAGGAATAAGTTCAGCAAGAAGACAACAGTTGTAAACATCTATGCACCCAAGGTTGGAGCACTTAAATATAAACACCAAATACTAACAGATGTAAAAGGAGAAACTGACAGCAACACAATAATAGTAGTGGACTTTAACACTTCACTTACATCAATGGATAGGTCATCCAAACAGAAAAAGGAAACAGGGGCACTGAATGACATTATTAGACCAGATGGACTTACCAGATATATATAGAATATTCCACCAAAAAGCAAGAGAATACACATTTTCCTCAAGTGCAGGAGACAGTCCCCAGAAAAGATCACATATTAGGACACAAAACAAGTCTCAACAAATT